TTACTATTAGAACTGACAATCGGACCCATTCAAATACTTTCGAATCGAATTACAACTAAAGTGAGGTACCAGTATTTAAAAATTCTGGCGGCCTAGTATTCAATGCCCCTGATCCGATATAATTTGATATAATAGTTGCAGACACGAATCATGTAACAAATTAGCCAGCACGCGCGAAAACGGTGCCGTTTGCGCAATCCGTGGCAAACTCATCGAAGATTGTTGCCCTCGCGGCTAGGCGAGTAACGTCGACATAACTAACGGTACTCCACCCGCATTGTTTTGGACCATCTTAATATTGTACGTGCTTTAGTAATATGCCCTTCATTACATTCCCACAGTTTGTGTCTATAATTGACCTTGTTACTTCACGTTACAACAGTTATTATGTATAAAAAAAAGACAATTTCACATCCGACATAATACGTAGATTTTACAAATATTGAGAAAGGCGGTGTCTAAATATATCTAGAGTATGTCTAAAAATGTCTATAAAAATAATAATTTACAAAATCGCTCGATGTTTTCTTGCAATGTACCAACATTGAAACATAAACAAGGCAGTTGAGATGAATGACGACAAAACTAATAACTAAGATCTATTCAATGTATCTCAACAAAACAAAGACATTAACCGAAATAGGAACAAACGAAACGCATTAAGTAACCAATAGTAGCAATTCTAATAATAACTCTACTTAATATGAAACCTTATCTAGTAATAGTTACATTGTAACTTTGTAGTTACTTATTTAATATAGAACTATGAATAAGAACATGTAGATTTATAGCTTACTCTTGCGATAATACAAGACTACTAGCTATTGCCCGTGAGTCTGCGCGGAATTAAAAAAAAATTGTAGCCTATGTGTTCTTTCAGACTGTTCAAATTTACCAAATTTCAGCAAGATCCATGCAGCCCATCTGGAGATGTTTTCCAACAAACATCCATCCATACATACAACCCGACATTCGCAATTATAACATTAGTAAGATATTATAACTTACGTCTTTAACCAAATAAATAGGTAGAAATGACAAATTTACACATTGTGCGATTTTACCTAAGTAAAGAAAACTGTAACGGTCAAAAAATTACAAAAAAATGTAAAATTCACAGTTTTCTAATTATCACGAATAATTTTAATTTTTTTTAAATCTTACTATGATATGAATTTAGTTATTTACCACATATTTGTTGATATACAAATCTATGACCAATTATTTTTATCTCAATGGACTGTCCTAATAATGTTTAATCAAAACGCAATTAGGGTTAAAGCGATAAGCTACAGTCTGCTTACAATGATAATATTTGATTAAGAGATATGGGATTATGTGACGCATACATTTGGGCTTTGCTTCAGTAATTCAGAAGGTTGTCGGTAATCAATGTAAAATTACATCTTATAAAATACGTCTGTTGTTTCTTATTTACTTGTTTGTTTCCTTTTATTCATGTTAGTTAATAAGGTATTAGAAAAATTTAAATCATTAATCAGTTAAAGGTCATGATGTCCTGGTCATCATAGTCCCTTTTTTATTGCATTTTTATTTAAATTTTAATCTGATTTATTACCTTTTATTTAGTTTTATACTATTATTTTTATGTCCGAAACGCATATAACTGGACATTCGAGAGATTAAGTCAATATTAATGTGAAATCTAGCAATAATCGAAAATAAGCTTAAAAATATTGCTAATCTGACATGCAGCGACAATCAACGCGGGTTCTAAACATGTCGGGGGAACAATGTCAACGACCGACGACCCCGCTCGCAAAATGCATCAAAAATATAACAGGGGCTTGTACCATATTAGGGTCAAAATATCGATTATGCGATCTATACATTGTATTTCGAACCATAAAAAATGGGGTGCGCGTGCGCTTACTTATTGTTAGAAATTTATAAAGCAATAGAAATATATAGATTGATAATCTGGAAATCAGTTTTATAGGTGTAGACTGCTTACAATTTATGATTTTTTTACGGATAATATTATAAGACAAGCGTTATATAAAATGCAAACGTCAATAAAATATACGATAACTTAACTAACAAACATCGATTCAAATATAACTTTATCTTTTATAAGACCAATGTCAATAATTTTTATAATTATACTTTAAACGCGTCAACGGTTTTTAAATGTCGTTGAACAAGTTTCTTTGAGAATTAAAGGAAGTTGAGAGCGTTTATAAGATGTTACGAAGCTTAAGTTGCGACTGGCCAGAGTTATGTCTCGACATCGGACACGTCTCGACTCGCTCTACTGAATTTTAAAGGCGTTATTTTTAAAATAACCAACATTTTTCGAGGACACGCAACAATACATCAACAAGAAAATCAAAGATTTAATCTCTTAACAATATATTAAATCAATACCCACATTTAACAACGATCTGTACATTTATAAATTCGATAAAGATCTGAGTTAATTAAAATGATCCAAGCTTCAATAATTGATTTCTTAAATAAAAAAATTTGATTCCTGGAAACATTATTTATTTCAAATCAAAATCTGCTCCGGTTCATCAAGTAATTTCTAAATAATACGACTTCTAAATTATAATGTAACAATTTTATAGACGAATGTCAAATAGCTTAGTGCATATGTAAAGAAGGCACAAAAATTACACAAATCCAAATTTGTGGAGTATTAAATTAAGCTACACAAGGGCTCGGTTAACCAGAGGCTGGGGAGTAGAGACGATCAATTTCAAGGGTCCCCTTTTATTCAAATCCCGTCTTTGTCTCTCGTATTTCATACAATATTATTCTACAATAAAGATCTTCGTGTCGATCAGAGCTGACAGGTCAGTTGATGTTAAACATCATGAAAAAGAATAATTATACGTGCAAAGTGAAGAGGTAGGTAGGTACTAAAAATTGTATGAAAGATACTGTGCGTCTTGTGAATGGGTTTATATGGTTCATAACACTGTTCATACTGGAATAAAATGATTAATTGAAAAAAGAACGTTCGTAAACTCTAGGTCTACTGCAAGTTTCAAAATACGCAAACCTTTTAGCGTATACAAAAACGCTTAACTACCAGATAAGACTTATCGTTACTGATAAAGCAACTGTGTTGATGATATCATTTTTAATCTATATGGAAAAATAAAAAATAAAACAACATTTAATACAAAATAGTCGATTTAAAGCAATTAAAAAAAATAATACGTACTGCTTAAAGAAACAGAGTTATCACACAGCGAAACAATACACAACAGGCCGAACAGAAATAAAAACGAGCAATTAACGAAACTAAAACTAAAAAAAAAACAAAACGCAAAGGAACTTGAACGATTTACCGGTCAACTCGCGAACTTGTCAACAACACTTCACAATATTCGACGACAATATCAAATTTTCTTATTGAAATTTGATAAGTGTACGTAGGACGCCGAGTGTACGCGCACAGGCGAACGGGACGCGCGCCGCGACGACCGTGTCTCGACCAACTGACGTTTGTTCCGACTAGCCGGCTATCTCCGTCTCTCTCCAATACGCATGTCCGGAACTAGATCCCTTCATAGTATTCACATTTATACCATTTTTACAACACTTTCCTACATAAATAACAACTAGCAGACCATAAAATAAGCATTTAGCGTACATTCAGAGCGAAACAGACAAGGTCCATCGTGATTATATTGCGATATACCCTACGGCCGAGGTTTATTCAGGTTTTGCACCTGGCTTTCGAAGATAAGGAGATTTAACGCCGCCATGGGGACGTAAACAGTATCTGATTTTGATTTTACAATGAGCCGCAAATTTTTCTCTTTATACCCACACCTGCAGAAGTCTTGATAAACTCAAAGCCAATTTATTGGATGCAATTTTAAAAAAATATATTCTTCTAGAGGATGTTACATTTTGTTGATTAAGATCTATAGCAAAAGTATGCTAATACAATAGACATGTATTTTCGATATAATTATAGAACATCCTAACTTTCACGACTACATCGGGCTGGCAATGAAAGCGACATTGTCATCGCGCCTCCACAATGCACAATGGATGTGACGAGAGTGTCTCATGGAGTACAGCTGACCTTCATACAGTGAAACCCAACGTATACAATGTGGATACGATGAGTAAAAATATCCAACCTACACTAGACAAAATTTTCAAAATGAATGAAAAGTATTAAGACAAAGGACGATCTGCAGATAAATTATTTAAAAACAAAATGTAGGACAATATAGTATAATAGTACTTTTATTTAGTAAAATGGGTCTTACCAGACAGACGGACGGACAACAAAGTGATCCTATAAGGGTTCCGTTTTTTCCTATGAGGTACGGAACCCTAAAAATTGAATAAATACGAAGTAACATAACCTAATCTAACATAAAATTAGAACTTCTAATGTAATAGTAAATTTGTACCAACATGACGATACCAAATTAAGTTTGTTTGTATTAAATTTTGTGAGAAAACAGACTAAGTTTATAAAATAAAAACACATAATGATGATAAAAAAAAATTCGGCAGGAACAGCAGCAACTACGAAGCCATTGCTAAGAGATGTAGTAAAAATTTTAATTCAATAAACGGAAGTTGCAAATAATCTGAGTTAAACCGATGTTTATCTGATATCAACTGGTCGACGTGGCCTTGTAGCATTGTGTGGTTTTTGCTAGGTCAGAGCGCCGAGCCGTGGCTCTAAAGCTTAGATTGCTTACAATATTTTACATTTGTAACTAGCACATTAAATAAATAACAGTCATTTCATATATTGTAATGAGTTATAATTTTTAATTTATATTAAAGCAATATTTAGTTGCCATTAAACAATTATCAAATTAGCTTCGCACAGACTCAAAAAATTTGTTTTATCTGAGAAGCAAATTACGAAAACGAATGATTGTGGACGGACTTGAATAGCACAGAATAATAATTAACATGTTTTATTCCAAGTATCTTATTATGCTAGATTAAAAAGAAGGTACATGTTTTCGAAAAATGAGAAGGAGAAATAACAGTTTCTGATACAAGATAAACTCATCTTAAAGAGTTTGTTAAAGTGAAGAAATAAACAAACATTGTCGCGCTTAGTAAACATATCAAACCACCCGTGTCCTGCGCCTGGGGGTTTTAGGTTCACGACCACAACAAGATATAGCGAGAAGCGATAATTTATTTCAACTATTCTAAAGAATAAACTTTATAAATACAAAAACGATGTATGTATTAATATAAAATTAAATTATCGGACCCGACAGACGTTGTCCTGTCTACACGTCTTTAATTTGAATAAATTAATATGAAGTTAATATTTGATGAAAATTGTGAATCTAAACCATTCCCAGATCCCCTTGAACACACACAAAAAATTTCATCAAAATCGGTCCAGTCGTTTGAGAGAAGTTCAGTGACATACACACTCACAGAAGAATTATATATATAAAGAAATATAAATAACAAAAATATGGTGTGACTAGTAAATATTCGTAACGTCATTTAGCATTTAGTGTGCGTATGTCTGCAGCATAGCAGACTCAGACTTTAACTTTAGCGTGGTACGTATAACATTGACATAATTCCTATAATGCTGCGTTCCAATTTGCAATAATATTTATCAAAAAAACTATGCCTTATAATAAAAGCTACAGTCTACATAGAATTGCTGCAATATTAACAATTTAGTAAGTACACAAACATTATGACTACATTGAAATTATAATTCTATTATTTCGTATTTTTAACACTATAATTTAGTCAATTTGGGTGTATTTTAAACATATATTTTCCGTCAACATGATTATATCGTTATTTTGTAGTGTAACGGGAAAAATAACTAGATGTTCGACAAGTTGTATTTCAGATGAAATTCATGTCGCATTTCAATACTGCAGCATTTTCTGTTTCTTGTTAGCGTTTAATTAAAATGATTTTTTAAAGCGCAGAGTTGTTTAAAGAGGTCGCAATCGTCATTAAAAATGCGGCCTACATTTTTAAGCATTCTCGAGAATTTTCCATCTACTAAATTAACGTTCTGGTTTTATGTTATGATTTTATTTTTTATTCACAAATGTTATCTAGCATTTTTAAAAGAAACTAATTATAAAAGAAAATATTTCAATTAATTTAATGAAAAATTATTTCTGTTTTACAGTTAATAACTACCGCTGAGAGCTTTTTTGTGGCAATTAATGTTTTATTTTCTTTACCTTTAAGTTCTCTTCTTTTTTTTTCCTTTCCTTATCCCTTCTCTTCTTTTCTTTCTTTAATGGGTACTTAAACAGTGGCTTAGAGTAATTTTCTATCCAAATCTCTTAAAGTTCAACTAAGTCTTATACAACGTTTGCTCTTATGCCGCACTATAATGCTAAGATATAAAACTGTGTCATTATAAATGGTGTTACATTATTAAGATTGTATTCAAAATTGTATCGTGATATCGTAAATAATACAAACATTCTCCCCAGATAGTAAAATCGCTTGTTTGCATTGACTCGATAAACAGCGGGGTAAAGAGCGGAAACATTATTACAACTCAAACTACTCACCAATATCTCATCCTGTTTGCACATAATTTATCTTGCATACAATACATTGCCGTCTTTCAATACCTTATAACCAATCTATTTTTACAAACCATCGTTGTATGAGGTATTTTTCGTTGAAATCTTTTTATTCTGTAGATCGTTGTTAATTTTGGTAGATGATAAAATAGGTGCTTGAGTCAAGCTTAACTTTGCCAATATCGTAATGATTTCGGTATAATATTAGCTGAAGCGAATAATCTTTATTAGTATAAGAAAATATAAACACGTTCTCCGATTAAGATTGAATTTTGTTTACATTATGGTTTTTTAAACAACCGCTAAGGTAGACAGATGAAGAATTGTAAATAAGTCGATGATGATAATTAATCTGAAACAAAGTAACGCCGGGTAACGTATGCAATTGTTTTTGATCTAGATATCTACAAAAGAAACAGCCGGTGTAGACTCGTATTGGGCTTGTTGACGAACAGAATTTGCGTTTAGTTTTTAGTGAGTAGATCTGTGGCAAGTAAGTTTTTCGCGGACGTCTTTAAACTGTTTAAAGTTACAAAGGTTTGATTGCTCTTTGTTTGGATAACGACACTTCCTTTATTATTAAATAATTTAATTTTAATTCTAAACATTAATGCTCTATGACTTATCACCATGATTAGTGTGAATTTTAATTCTTATAAAATCATGAGAAATTTTAAGCGTACAATACTGACTTTAGCGACCACGTGTGCGTGTGAAAAAAAAACTAATATTACAGTCATCCATCCATACATATGTGTAGCATACATAGTATGCAGAGAATGTATATGAATCATAGATTACAAAATACACTTACAGGACACAAGGAAAACTGTGTCATTTCTGTCAGTACATTGTCACTTCCCCATTATACTAACAAAAAATATGACACCATACAATTTGAGCCGTCGAGAAATTATCGTAAACTGCCCCCGGGTAATGTCATAAAGCGATAAATACGTTGTAAAACCATAAAGGGAAGCAGCCAGCGATCTCATAAATCGCTATGAATTGGCCCACTTTGCAACAACTATACTTTCCGGTTTGCCAACTACAGTAACGAAATGGGATAACGTTTTTTTTTTCTTTTAAAAATTAAGTACACTTAAGTTCCATAACCAAATTTAAAATTTGTGTAATAAAAAACAATGAATAGAAAGATAGCAACACGATACATTTAACACGAAAATATGATTTTAGTGACTACATGTGTTTTTTCTTAACACTGAAGAAAAAATAAAAAAACAAACCTCAAGACCACAAATAATACACACGTATAATGAACATGTAAAGGAGAAATAATGTAATTTATATTCTATATTTAAACCAACGTTTTTCATAATTTTCACAAAGATCATTGTATCTTAACTGTTTCGAGGGCGGTTTGTGGGTGAGTCATTATAGAGTTATCGGATGCTGCGGTTGCTTGTTATCTTCAATGGCGAACTATTGCTGTAATTGGATCGCAACATTGCATAGACAATGGTATCCGCAGTTCTGTTGCCGAGTGTCAAGCATCGGTATGTTTTTTACGAATCTTATTGACCTGAAAAACTACAATGCTACGTGAAAATATAACGAATAAAACGACGCAAGAACGTGTATACAACGTCGCAAGAACGTGTATACAACGTCGCACTGTAGTCATGTAATGAAGTTTTTAAAAGTAAAGTTACAAACATTTTTTTACATTTAAAATTTAGTACCTAAATTAGTAATACTTAATACATCACCCTTGCCTAATAATTTTCTTATTTATTAGGTATAAAATCGTAGTTAGTTCTGGTTTTCAAGTGCCTGTTGTGTAGTTTATAACTGGTCTAATTGATATTGGGTAATGATGCCTTCGGGTGCACACGCGCGTTCGTGACGTCATTGAATACACAGTTTGGTGCCGGATTTAGTTGGTCCTTGA